CATTCTTGCTTGTGTGATTACTGAGAAGTTAATACAGTTCTTTGTTTCTCTGAAAGTATAGTGTTCTTTTTTTTACTTCTTTCAGAATTTTCTTTATTTTTAGTTTTTGTGTTAATTTGAAAATGATCTGCCTAGGTGTAGTTGTTCTGGGCATTTATCCTGCCTGGAGTTCTCTGAGCTTTGTGAATCTGTGGTTTGGTGCCTGCCGTTCATTTGGGGGAAAGTGTCAGTCGTTTCCAGTATTTCCCTCTGTTCCTTTTGTCCTTTCTTCTCTTTCTAGTAATCCCATTACACATGTTACACCTTTTGTAGTTGTCCCACGGACCTTGGATATTCTGTTGTTTTTTAAAGGAAATCTTTGTTGGGGCACCTGGGTGGCTCAGTGGGTTAAGCATCTGGCTCAGGTCCTGATCCCAATGACCTGGGACGGAGCCCCTCATCAGACTGCCTGCTCATTGGGAAGCCTGCTTCTCCCACTCCTTTCCATGTCCCCTGTTTGTGCTCTCTGTCAAATAAATGGATAAAATCTTAAAAAAAAAAAAAAAAAAAGCTTTGTTTTCCAGTTTTTGAGGATTTTGTCAATAATGTTCTCTAGTTCAGAACATCTTTCCTCAGCTGTGTCTGGTCTACTAATAAGGCTACCAAAGGCATTCTTCATTTCCTTTACAGTGTTTTTTAATCTCTAGCATTTCTTTTTGGTTCTATGTTAGGATTTCTGTCTCTCTCTTTATATCACTCGTCTGTTCTTGCTTGTGATCTACCTCGTCCATTAGGGCTCTTAGCTTTTTTTTTTTTTTTTTTTTTAAAGAACTATCCTATCTTTTTTTCTTTTTTTTTAAGATTTTATTTATTGATTTGACAGAGAGAGATCACAAGCAGACAGGCAGGCAGAGAGAGAGAGAGAGAGAGAGAGAGAGAGAGGGAGGGAAGCAGGCTCCCTGCCGAGCGGAGAGCCCGATGCGGGACTCGATCCCAGGACCCTGAGATCACAACCCGAGCCGAAGGCAGCGGCTTAACCCACTGAGCCACCCAGGCGCCCAAGGGCTCTTAGCTTATTTTTTTTTTTTTATTATTTTTTTTTTTTTATTTTATTTTCTTTCAAGAAGCACTTGGAACCGCTTTACCTATCTGGGAAACCTTTATGCTCACGAACAAGAAAACACTGAGGGAGTCTGGGTCTTAGGAGGTAAATGCACTGAAAGTCTCCCTCCCCGCATCTACCTCGTGCTCCGTCACCTAGGGCTGTCCTAGTCTAGAACCCCTGAACATAAAGAAAGCCTTGCAACTTTTCCTGTGCCTGCATTACCAGTGACCAGGACACAGGTAGCCTGTAATCCTTTCAAACACGGGCAGAAAGCAACATGTGGCTTCGGAAGTTAGAGACCAGAGTCAGAAGACCACAGCAGTGGTTCCCACAGCCAACTCAAGACATGCCCTGAAGCAGGACCCACGCTCGTGCTCCCTTTATAAAACCTCACAGAAACAGAAACCATCCTGAGCCAGGCACAGAGAGTACGCCATAAGACACCATAAGACACGTCATAAGCAGGTGCCCAGAGGCACCTAAAAGGTGGGGAGGAGGAGGAAGTGTGGGAAAGCTCCAGAGTTTGGAAGGGACAGGAAGGGACCCTCCAAACACGGGGAAGCGCTTTCAGCAACTCCTCTCCCTGCACTATCAATGACCAGGACACAGACAGACCATGATCACTTTCGAATGCAGGTAAGGGCTCTTAGCTTATTAATCACCGTTGTTTTAAATTTCCAGTCTGATCATTCTAACATGCCTTCCATATCTGATTCTGAGGCTCACCGTCTCTTCAATCTGTGTTTTTTTGCTTTTTGGTATGCCTTGTGACTTTTTCTTGATAGACATACACGATGTCCTGGGTAAAAAGAACTGCTGTAAGTAGGTTTTATAGAAATGTGATGGGGAGCTCTTGGGGGAGGGGGAAGTGTTCTGTGATTGGGTCTCAGTACTTCAGTGAGCCTAGGTTTCTGGTCTGTGGGCTTCACACGTTTCCCAGTTTCTTTCTCCTGCCTGAAGGTGGGACAGGATGGCTCTAGGGCATTAGGGTTGGGTATTTCCCTGCCCCCAGCTCAGTTAGTCAGGGGCTTAACTCCAGCAGGTAAAGCTCTGATTGTTTCCCCTGAAGGCAGGCCCTGCTAAGAACAGAATGCTCACACCTATTTAAAACTGGTCCCTTTTTCTCTTCCCCCTCCCCCTCCAAGAGGCAGGAGTGGATTTTTTCTCTGTTTACTAAGTGAGCATATGAGTTCCCTGGGATAAATCTGACAATATTATGGGCCTCCCTGTGACTAGATCCTTCTGGAATTTTTAACTCTGAGAATGGTCCACAGTGATCCTCTTGCAAATTGTCAATCTCAGTTCATGTTTTTCTGTCCTGGCTGTGGTTTCCTCAAGCCTTTTGCTGGTGAGTCTCTTCTCAGATAAACCACAGCTCCGGGTGTTTGGCTGTCTGCCTCTCTAATCCTGCAGCATCAGTTTGCCTCTGTCCTCTCTCTTTTGGATCCAAGAACTGTTGATTTTTCAGTCTGTTCAGCTTCTTACGTGTGAAGCTGGGACCCAGAAGTCCCCATGTAAGATCTTTAAAACATCTGTACAATTTAAAAGTAATAATAAGACAAGTACCAGAGTGCACTCTGATTTTCTTCTTTTGTCTGATTTTACTTTTGTTTTGTCTTATTGCTCTAATTTTAGGGAAATTTCCTTGATGTTTCCTTTTCTTGAGTTTATCATTTATGTTCTCATATTTTTAAGTTTTAGAAGCTTCCCCTTCCTTTGAGCGTTGTTCTGATTTCAGTGTGCAGTATTTTGTCTCTGAGGACATTAATTACAATTTTTTTTAATTTTTCCATATAAAATACTTCTTTTTTATCTCTCCCAGGTTGTTTTGGAGTCTGGGTTTCAGATTAGATTCCTTCCTTGGATGTTTGGTAATTGTCATATACTCATAATTAAGAATGGAAAATTAGAACGTTGTTTGAAAGCTTCGTATGTGGTGGGTCTCAAGGACAATGAGTTTACGTTGATGATGTATTATGTATTCTGCTTCCTTTTCGGAGGAAGTCTCCTGGAGAAGACTCCCTCATACCATGTGGGGGAAATTTCTATTGGCTCTTGGGTCTCCTAGGTCAAATAATGCTTCAATCAATTTTGTAACCTCTAAATTTTTGTGGCTATTGACTTTTCTATTCTTTTTGCCCTTGTGAACTTAGGTTCTCTTTTCTCTCCTTCTATAATATGGTATCATATCAAAATAACAATATAATTAACTAAAACCATTTAAAATCATTTTATGGGGGCGCCTGGCTTACTCAGTTGGTAGAGCATGTTAGTCTTAATCTCATGGTCAAGAGTTCAAACCCCATGTTGGGCGTGGAGCCCACTTAAAAAAAAAGTCTTTTTGTGGGTCTTTTTGTCCTTAGGGTAATCCTGTTAAGAATGTCCAATCAAATTACTAAACTTAAAGTCATTTGAAAAAATTCCCTTCTAGTGATAACACTGACAAATTGTTACATGGTTATGTATGACAGAAGATAATAAATGTTTTGCTTCGTTTTCACTTTTGATTTCTAGGGATCGTTTTTTCCTTTTGATTTTATTTTGTTTCATAATTATGTATGGCCCCAAACTCAAAGCTACGAAATGAAGTACACTTAGTGAAATATAGCTCCTATCCTTGCCCCATCTACCTTGTTCCCTCCATTACCATATCAGGAGCTATTCTCTTTAAAATAGGTCCCTTCCTCCCCCACTTCTCTTTATTCTCTTACCCTGATTTATTTTCCTTTATATATATTTTTAAATATTTATATTATTTATTTATTTTGAGAGAGAGTGTATGTGTGGAGCCGGATGCAGGGCTCGATCCCATGACCCCAAGATCATGACCTGAGCTGAAATCAAGAGTCTGATGCTTAAAAAAAAAAAAAAAAAAGAGTCTGATGCTTAACCAACTGAGCCACCCAGGCGCCCCATTTTCCTTTATATTTCTTATCATGTCTGACACTATTAACTTCTTTCCTTACTAGAATAGAAGCTTCATGGGAGCAGGAACTTAAGATATGCCAAAATAAATTCATTTCTACATTCTTATTTAGGGCCCTTCAGAGGGATATTTGTGTTTGTTTCCTTTTTTCCCCTTTTTGAGTATGGGTTAGCAGTGTAACCTATACTTTTTAAAAACTTATTTGGTCAACACTGCTATTTCATATCAACACATTGATTATGCCTTTACAGCCATTTAAAATCACCCAAGCAGTGTGATATAATGAACATCGCAGTGACAAGAATGAGGGGAGCCTGCGTTCTGAGCTCAGCTCTGTTCCCATGTATAGATGATACCAGAGTAGGTGACTCTGGCCTGTGGCGGGTGCTACTGTGCCTGAGAGGCCCCAGCTTCCACGACGTCTTGTTCAACAACCCAAGCAAGGCAGGGAGTGTTACGCGGGATGAGAGTGCTCCAACATTGGGGTGAACTAGACTTTGTTTACAGTCAGTTGTGCTAGAATGTCACATGTGTGTTCCTAAAACTTACCACTCTCTGAAAAATTTGTTTAGTAAAAACCACGGAGTTCATGGGCAAATTGGAATTAAGGGCATACACTCAAAAACGTTGGTGCGTGGCATATTAAAAGGAACATCATAAAAACATTAGCACAGTTTTTACTATGCATGTTAAATGGTGAAGAAAGATATCATGCTGAAGTAAATATGACAGTTTACCTTGAAAAGCCCTGATGTTTGTTTATAGAAGTGGGCACTCGAGAGTTCCACCTATGAATTCAGCTGGGTGCAGTGTTCAGTGTTTTTACTCATGATTTTTACCTGCTTTTACTCATGGAGGAAAGTGCATCATAAGCAAGTGATAAATTTGTGTGGTGCTCAGATTTTTCCAAATAATCATGTTGGAATGGTTTACATTTTTTTAAGCAGGTGGCAGAGCAGAACTGATGATATTTTTCTCTTTCTTCTTTAGATGATATGCCGATGGGAACTGCTGGCAGACGTGCTTCAAATGAGTTTTTGGTGTGTGGAGGGTATGTTTATATATATTAAATTAGAACTTTTTCATATTTTGGTTTTTGTGAGTAAAGTTATAGAACTTTGACCATGTTTTTTATTCTAAAATTTATTTCACAATTTGTCATTTCTTTTTTAAAAAACAGCTTAAATTATAGATAAAAGCACATAAAATCTGTTGTCTTCCCCATTTTTAAGTTTACACATCAGTAGCTTTATGTATATTCACAATGTTGTACAACCAGTCTCCAGAACTTTTTCATCTTGCAAAACTAAAACTCAGTACTCATTATGTAGTAGCACTCCCCATTTCTCCCACCTCTAGGTGCTGGTAACCATTGTTCTACTTTCCCTTTCTATGAATTTTACTGCTTTAGCTACCTCACATAAGTAGAATATATAATACGTATCTTCTTGTGACTGGCTTAGTTCAATCATCATAATGTCTTCAAGGTTGGCCCATGTTGTAGCATTTGTCAAAATTTCTTTTAAGGCTGAGCCATAGTCCATTCTGTGTATATACTGTGTTTTGTTTATCCATTCATCTGTCAATGGACAATTGGATTTCTTCTCCCTCTTGGCTATTGTGAGTAATTCTGCTATAAATGTGAATGTGTAGATATCTTTTTGAGATCCTGCTTTCAATTTTTTTTGTATATATACCCAACACTGGGGTTGCTGGATCATATGATATTTCTATTTTTAATTTTTTGTGGAGTTGCCATGCTGTTCTCCATAGTGGTTGTACCATTTTACATTCCTACCAACAATGTGCAAGCGTTCCAGTTTCTCTACATCTTCAGTAACACTTGTTATTTCTGTTTGGGGTTTTTTTTTTTTATAATAACCATCTTAATGAGTGTGAGGTGATATCTCATTGTGGTTTTATTTTTTTTTTATTTTTTTTTTTTTAAAGATTTTATTTATTGATTTGACAGAGAGAGATCACAAGTAGACAGAGAGGCAGGCAGAGAGAGAGAGAGAGAGGGAAGCAGGCTCCCTGCTGAGCAGAGAGCCCGATGCGGGACTCGATCCCAGGACCCTGAGATCATGACCTGAGCCGAAGGCAGCGGCTTAACCCACTGAGCCACCCAGGCGCCCCCTCATTGTGGTTTTAATTTGCTATTCTTTCTAGTGGTTTTTGAGTGTCTTTTCATATACTTATTGGCCATTTGTCTATCATTTGTTGTTGAGTTGTAGGAGTTCTTTATATATATTGGATATTAACCCTTTACCAGATATATGATTTACAGATGTTTTCTCCCATCCCAAAGATATTCTTTCCACTCTGTTGATGTGTCCTTTGAGCATAAAAGTTTTGGATTTGATGTAGTCTCATTTGTCTATTTTTTTGTTCTGTTGTCTTGTGTTTTTGGTGTCATTTAAAGAAATCATTGCCTAATCCAGTGTCATGAATCGTTTCTCCTGTGTTTTCTTCTACAAGTTATATAATTTTGGGTCTTATATTTAGCCCTTTAATGCATTTTGAACTAATTTTTGTGTATTGTATAAGGTAAGGGTCCAGCTGCATTCTTTGCCTGTGGATACCTAGTTTTCACATTTTCTTCTTTTTTTTTTTTTTTTAAATTTATTCGACAGACAGAGATCACAATTAGGCAGAGGCAGGCAGAGAGAGAGGAAGGAAAGCAGGCTCCCCGCTGAGCAGAGAGCCCGATGTGGGGCTCGATCCCAGGATCCTGGGATCATGACCTGAGCCGAAAGCAGAGGCTTTAACCCACTGAGCCACCCAGGCGCCCCATAGTTTTCACATTTTCTGAAGAGACTGTCTTTTGTGTCTCCATCCAGTGGTGTTGGCATTCTTGTTGAAGATCATTTGTCCATATATGCAAGGGTGTGTTTCTGGGCTGTCGATTCCATTCTGTTGGTCTCTGTGTCTGTCATTATGCCAACCATATTGTTTTGATTACTGTAGATTTGAAATCGGGAAGTATGAAACCTCCCGTTTTGTTTTTCTTTTCCAAAATTGCTTTGACTATTCAGGGTCCCTGCAGATTACATATGAATTTCAGAATAGATTTTTCTATTTCTGCAAAACAATGCCATTGAGATTTTGGTAGGGATGGGATTGATCTGTATAGATCACTTTGGGTGCTATTGACATCTTTATAGTATTAAATCTTCTAGTCAATGAAGACAGGGTGTCATTTATAATTTTTCCAGCAATGTTTTGTAGTTTCCAATATACAAGACTTTCTCTTCCTTGGTTAGATTTATTCCTCTGTATTTTATTCTTTTTGATACTATTGTAAATAGTATCAAAAAAGTATTATAGTATTGTATTGTAAAATGTATTATAAATAGAGTATTATAAAAATTGTAAAAAATAGTATTGTAAAAAGTATTGTAAATAGATTTATTCCTGTGTATTTTATTCTTTTCGATACTATTTTTTTTTTAAGATTTTATTTATTTGTTTGACAAACAGAGATTACAAGTAGGCAGAGAGGCAGACAGAGAGAGAGGGGGAAGCAGGCTCCTCGCTGAGCAGAGAGCCTGATGTGGGGCTTGATCCCAGGACCCTGAGATCATGACCCGAGCCAAAGGCAAAGGCTTAACCCTCTGAGCCACCCAGGCGCCCCAATAGCACTGATTTCTTTTTTTTTTTATTAAAAATTTTTTTTTCTTTTTTATAAACATATATTTTTATCCCCAGGGGTACAGGTCTGTGAATCGCCAGGTTTATACACTTCACAGCACTCACCCTAGCACATACGCTCCCCAATGTCCATAACCCCACCCCCCTTCTCCCAACCCCCTTCCCCCCAGCAACCCTCAGTTTGTTTTGTGAGATTAAGAGTCACTAATGGTTTGTCTCCCTCCCAATCCCATTTTAGCACTGATTTCTTAATTTCCTTTTTTCATTGCTCATTGTTAGTGTATAGAAATGCTACTTATATCTGTCTGTTGATTTCATATACTGCAACTTTGCTGAATATATTAGTTCTAATGGCTTTTTTGTGTGAAATCTTTTGGGCTTTCTGCATTTAAGATCATGTTATCCATGAACAGAAATAATTTTACTTCTTCCATTCCAGTTCTAATGCCTTTTATTTCTTTCTCTTGCCTAATTGCTCTGGCTAGGAATTCTATGCAGAAGCAGTGAGAGCAGGCGTCCTTGTCTTATTCCTGACTATAGAGAAAAGGCTTTCAGTCTTTAACCATTGAGTATGATATTATTATGGGCTTTATTTTTTTATGGGCTTTTTTATGGGCTTTTTATGGGCTTTTTTTTTTTTAGGTTTTATTTATTTATTTCACAGATAGAGATCACAAGTAGGCAGAGAGGCAGGCAGAAAGAGAGGAAGGGAAGCAGGCTCCCTGCTGAGCAGAGAGCCCGATGCGGAGCTCGATCCCAGGACCCTGGGATCATGACCCGAGCCGAAGGCAGAGGCTTTAACACACTGAGCCACCCAGGCGCCCCTAGTTATGGGCTTTTTATATATGGTGTTTTTTATGTCAAGGTAATTTTTTTTTTTATTCCTAGTTTGCTGAATGCTTTTTATCATTAAAGGATGTTGGAATTTTGTCAAATGCTTTTTCTGCATGAATTGACATGGCCATATGATTTAGTCTTTCATTCCATTAATGTAGGTATATTATAAATCACATTTGGTACATGATCCTTTCAATGTACTGTTGAATTTGGTTTGCTAGTATTTTGTTGAGGATTTTTACATCAAATTTCATCGGGGAAACTGTTCTGGTTTATTGTTTTTGTTTTTGTTTTTGTCTTTTGGTAGTATCCATGTGTGGCTTTGGTACTAGTGTAATGCTGAACTCATGGAAAGAGTTCGGGAGTGTTTCCTCCTCTCTAATATTTTGGAAAGAGTTTGAGAAATGTTGATGCTAATTCTTTAAATGTTTGGTAGAATTCACCAGTGAAACGTCTGGTCTTGGGCTTTTTTTGTTACTGGGAAGTTTTGATTACTGATCCAATCTCGTTAACTAGTTATGGTCCGTTCAGATTTTCTCTTGCTTTATCATTCAAACTTGGTAGGCTGTGTGTTTGTAGAGTTATCAGTTTCTTGTAGGTTTTCCAACTTGTTGGCAAGCACTTGTTTGTTCATGGTATTCTGTTATAATCCTCTCTATTTCTGTGGCATTAGTTGTCATTCCTTCTTTCATTTCTGATTTTGAGTCTTCTCTTTTTCTTACTTAACCCAGCTAAGTGTTGGTTTTGTTGATTTTTTTAAAATGCCAACTCTTAGTTTAATTTTTCTGCTTTCTCAGTTTTATCTCTGCTCTAATCTTCATGATTTCCTTTTTTTTTTTTTTTAGGAAATGGCTTTAGTTTGTACTTTTTTTTTTTTTTTTGTAAGATTTATTTATTTGGGAGAGAGAGTGCCTGAGTGTGTGTGAGTGGGGGAAGCGGCAGAGGGAGAGAATCTTCAAGCAGACTCCCTGCTGAGAATGGAGCCCAACGTGGGGCTTGATCTTACAACCCGTGGGATAACAGCCTGAGCCAAAAGCAAGAGTTGGATGCCCAACTGACTGAGCCACCCAGGTGCTCCTAGTTTTTACTTTTTATAATTTGAGGGGTAAAGTTAAGTTTTTGACTTGAGTTTGGTTTTTTTTTTTAATGTTAGCATTTACAGCCATAAACATCTATCTTATTGCTGCTTTCGCTGTATTCCATAAGTTTTGGTATGTTGTGTTTATATTTTCATTTTTCTCAAGATATTTTCTGATTTATTTTGTGATTTCTTCTTTGACCTATTGTTTGTTTAAGAGTGTGTTGTTTTGTTTCTCTGTATTTGTGGATTTTCTAGTTTTCCTTCTTCTGTTGATTTCTACTTTCTATCTATCATGATTGGAAAAGATACTTTGTATGATTTCAGTCTTTTAAAATTTTAAGATTTGTTTTGTGGCCTAATATGTGGTCTATCCTGGAAAATGTCTCATGTGCACTTGAGAAGAATGTATATTCTTCTGTTTGTGGTGGGAAGGGTGTTCTGTATATATCTACAGGGTCTAGAGCGTTGTTCAAGTCCTGTTTCTTTATTGCTCATTCATCTGGTTTTTCTGTCCATTATTGAAAGCAGAGTATTGAGTTGTTCAGCTGTCAATGTGGCGTTGTCTATTTCTCCCTTCAATTCTGTCGATACTTGCTTCATATATTTTGGAGCACTGATGTTTGGTGCATAAATATTTATAATTGTTATACTTTCCTGGTTAATTGGCCCTTTAGTAATGTCTTTTTTTGTCTCTTGTAACAGTGTTTGGCTGAAAGTGTCTGATATTAATATTGCCACTCCGGCTGTCCTTTGGTTACTATTTGCTTGGAATATCTTTTTTTTTTTTTTTTTTTTTAAGATTTATTGGGCGCCTGGGTAGCTCGGTAAAGTGATTGCCTTTGGCTCAGGTCATGATCCTGGAGTCCCGGGATCAAGTCCTGCTTCAGGCTCCCAGCTCAGTGGGGAGTCTGCTTCTCCCTCTGACCCTTACCCCTCTCATGCTCTCTCTCTTTCTCTCTCAAATAAATAAAGTCTTTTTATAAATTAAATTAAGGGGCACCTGGGTGGCTCAATGGGTTAGAGCCTCTGCCTTCGGCTCAGGTCATGATCCCAGGGTCCTGGGATCGAGTCCCATATTGGGCTCTCTGCTCGGCAGGGAGACTGCTTCCCTTCCTCTCTCTCTGCCTGCCTCTCTGCCTGCTTGTGATTTTTCTGTCAAATAAATAAAATCTTAAAAAAATTTTAAATTAAAAAAGATTTATTAATTTGAGAGAAAGGGAAAAAGAACATGCATGTGGAGGGGAGAGGCAGAGGGAGAAGGAGGGAAATCTTAAGCAGGCTCCCCACTGAGTGCAGAGTGTGACATGGCGCTCAATCTTACATGAGGTCCTCAATCCTGAGATCATGACCTGAGCTGAAAACAAGAGTTGGTTGCTCAACCGACTGCATCCCCCAGGCATCCCTGGGATATCTTTTTCAATCCTTTTCTTTCAGCCTAATAGGGGAAGATTTACTTTTGCCATTTTGTTATTTTTATGTATGTCTTGTGACCTTTTTGCCCCTCATTTTCTCTCTTAATACCTTTCTCTGTGTTTTGTTGATCTTGTTGTGGTGACATGCTTTGATTATCATTTCCTACTGTGTGTATTCTATAGATACATTCTTTGTGATTAATTTTGGGACTACATAAAATATCTTTAAGATACAGCAGTCCAGGGGCGCCTGGGTGGCTCAGTGGGTTAAAGCCTCTGCCTTCCGCTCAGGTCATGATTTCAGGGTCCTGGGATCGAGTCCCAGTTGGGCTCTCTGCTCAGCGGGGATCCTGCTTCGCCCTCTCTCTCTGCCTGCCTCTCTGCCTCCTTGTGATCTCTCTCTCTCTCAAATAAATAAATAAAATCTTAAAAAAAAAAAAAAGATATAGCAGTCCATGGGGCACCTGTCCTGGGTGGCTCCACTGGTTAAGCATCTGCCTTTGGCTCAGGTCATGATCCCAGGGTCCTGGGATCGAATCCCACATCAGGCTCCCTGATCAGCAGGGAGTCTGCTTCTCCCTCTGCCTGCTGCTCCCCAGCTTGTATTCTCTGTCTTTCTGTCAAATAAGTAAATACAATCTTAAAAAAAAAAAAAAAGCTACAACAATGCATTTTAAGCTGAACTTCAGTTGCATACAAAAATTCTACTATAGAGAGTATGGGAGTTTACTTCCCCTTCCCCCTTATGTTCCTGATGTCACAAATTGCATGTTTATGTGTTCCTAATAATCACATAGATCTATAGCTTTTTTGGTACTTTTGTCTCAGACTCTATACAAGAATTGGGACATGCTGGTCTTCCAAGAGAGGGAAACAATAGTGATAGCAGAACTGTATAATGGCTCTGACAGCTTCTGCTCTGCAGAGGGAACAGCATGTCCCCCATGGGAGCTGCTCTCTCAGCCTGCTGCCCAGGGGTTGTGGCAGGAGTACACACACTAAGGGCTGTAGAAAAGGGTTCAGAGAGAGGTAGTGAGTAGTTTGAAAAAAATCATACACTCTACCACAGGATATTAAGTGCATATGGAAACAGATTATTACAAATACATTAAAATTATGCAGCAAAGAAAGGCACCATCTGCACCGGGGCAGTAGGGAATCAAAATCAAAATGGTCTGATGCAGGAACAAGACATATTCTCTGCAGAGCCATTAAAATCCTGGAGCTCCATGTCCTAACAACTATCATCTCGTAGGCCAGTCGTTATAATGTTAGTGGTAGTATATCTCACTCTTCCCTTAGAACCTCACTTTTATTGAAATTATTTTGAAATATTTCACTGTATTTCTTTCCAGGAGAATGTCTGACCTCTAGACAAAAATTCTTCATTTCAATAAAATAACAGCATATTTATTTTGGGCAGACTGCTTAGTCTTTCTAGTATTCAGTGCAGGTCAAAGATGACTTTCCACTCGTGCTGGAGACTCGGGGCCTACGTAGACCTGCCGTCTCCTCACCTTGGGCTTAGGGAGTCAGGTGGTGGTTGAATAGTGTTATTAATATAAAGCTCGACAGAAAAGTGGCTGCCGTGGTCTTAGCCAGCTGGAGCTCTGGGAATTTCTCCAGGGAAGACTGTGTAGGCGGAACAAGTCTGCTTGGAGATTCTGTCCGGACAGACCCGATTTACAGGACACCTGGCATGGCTGCTCACATCCTCACATGCTGGGGGAGGGTTGCCTGAGATTCCCTGGGACAGGGGCTTTGCTTTATGTATGAAGTTGCTAAGTGTACTTCTTGGGGTGGTTTTATTCAACTCTAATTTTCCTTTGGTGATTAACGAGTACAGGAAAAATATCAGAACTTGAAAATGTATATGTTTTTTATAAAAAAGCCCTTGATGTACTTGCTTCACCAACAGTGTACTTACTCACTGAAGTGAGACTGTAGAAAGATGATATTTCTTCCTTCACATTCTGATCCTTGATGGCCTTGCTGGTTGGCCTTTCAGTGGAATTTGGGCTGTAAGGCCTGTGTGCTCTGGGTTGCAGGCACTATGGTTGGCGAGTGAAGTCTTGTAATGCTGTTTAGTTTCTAGTAGTAGAAGTTTTTTGTTTTGTTTTGTTTAATTTTCAGGTTATAGATCAACTTCACAATCAGGTATATAAATATTAAAAGCACAAATCATTGTATTTAAAAGATAGTTAATGTTACACTTGTCACTGTTTAGTTTCCAGTAGTAGAAGTTTTTTGTTTTGTTTTAATTTTTTTAATTTTCAGGTTATAGAAAATTATAAAATTATTACTACCAAAGATGTAGTTTCCTCGCAAGATGAGAAGTCAAAATAAATGGTTGGGCTATTGGGGAAAGCAGCTACGATCTCTATGATGGATGAGATTTTCTTTTTATTTAAATATGAGATACTCTAATGGTTCAGAAAGCCCTAAAGTGACACTTTAAAAGATAATCATACTGTTTGTTAGCTAACTAGATCTCCGATCTCTTTATATCTGCAATGTAATTTGAGAAAAAATGTTAGATTCATGGGGCTTTTTAGTATTATAGACAGACGGAAGGATGAAATAAATCATCTTTTTTTAAGGTCCAGTATTGTCCCTGATGTTTTTGATAGGTTGTAGATTGAATCAAAAGGACATACTGATTCCAAATTTGTGAAAAGCAAGGAGAGAGGCTATTACAGAAACCCAGCACTAACACTTCAACATGTGGACCTCAGATCAGTCATGTGCTTTGAGAGTTGTACAGTGTTATTTTCAATCTTTTTAAAAGTCAGAGTTCTTTGGGAATGCTTACTGCATTCATGACTTTTGTAAACATTCCAGTCATCTTTGCTCTTGAACTTCCTGTTCTTTTACCCAGCATATTTTCCTAGAAATATTTTTTTCTCCTCACATAATAATGAATAGCAGAACGTGAGCAGATGAAACAGAAATTTGCCAGCCTACAGACTTCTCCTACTGTTGCAGAGGAATGTTTTTCCAGTTCTTATTACGATTCTTAGTCCTCAAAATGCTTATAAGTGCCTGGAGAGTTCCAGTGTGATTTTTTTGGCCTTATTTTTGAAATGATCATTTTTTATTCACATGAACGTGATCATTTGGTCTCTTCTAGAATTTTCTCTAAATATCACCAAGGTGTCAAATGAAAGAGAAACAGTCTCACTCGGATTTCTTTCCTTTTTCAATCCATGATCGTTGCAGTCAGTGTCAGCCCACTGTGTCGCCTCACAGTGAGACCGCACCAATTCCAGTTCCGACTCAGATAAGGAATTATCAGCGCATAGAGCAGAATCTTACATCTCCTGCCAGCTCTGGCACAAATATACATGGTTCTCCAAGGTAAGAGAGTATTTTTTTTCTTCTTTTTCTTTTAAAAAATTTGTTGTTTTTGAAAGATCTATTACTTTCCATGGTTTAACATAATCTCTTACCTGTGTGTATCATGGAGGTGTACAAAACTGAAGAATAAAAAACTTCTGTAATGAATCTCTTTTTTTAAAGATTTTATTTATTTATTTGACAGACAGAAATCATAAGTAGGCAGAGAGGCAGTCAGAGAGAGAGGGGGCGGCACGCTCCCCACTGAGCAGAGAGCCTGATACAGGGCTTGATCCCAGGACCCTGAGATCATGACCTGAGCCGAAGGCAGAGGCTTAACCCACTGAGCCACCCAGGCACCCCTATAATGAATCTATTTAAATGGTGGTTAAGCTTAGCTGGATGATATAGGAGGATATGTATATATAATAATTCTTAAGAATTAAGGAAGAACTTATTAAAGATGAAACCTCACTGGTTGTACAGATCATTTACGTATTATTTATTTCCTCTATATCCTGAAACCCCACTAAAACTACCATTAAGGTAGCAAGAATGAAAAGGTCTAAGTCCACAAAGATAAGTCAGATAAGAACACATGCTCAGTGGATGAGAGGTTTCAGCACCTTTCTGGAAAACAGAAAAAAGATAAAGGGGGCCCCACTGTAGTAGGGCCAGCATCAGAGTGCCCCATGGTGCCCCCAAGACCCCAGCCCCCAGAGCTCGGGGAAGGCAGGGCTGCAAGTGAGGTGTAAGGCTGAAGACAAAAAAGTGCAATCTGGACGAAATAGCAAGAATACAAAGAAAAGAGGGGCGCCTGGGTGGCTCAGTGGGTTAGAGCCTCTGTCTTCAGCTCAGGTCATGATCTCAGGGTCCTGGGATCAAGTCCCGCATCGGGCTCTCTGCTCAACAGGGAGCCTACTTCCTCCTCTCTCTCTGCCTGACTCTCTGCCTGCTTGTGATCTCTCTCTATGTCAAAAAAAAAAAAAAAAAAAAGAATAAAGAATACAAAGAAAAGAAAACTTATGTGGAAAATGTGTACCCTGAGAGGTAGGGTAGAGACTGCATCTGTAAATTAGAACAGAATGCTGTTGAAAACAATCAACTTCAAAAAAGACCTCTTGGACATTCCAAAATATAACTGAAAAAAAAAAATGTTGAAAGACAAAGTTGAGGCTGTATCTGAAACAGATGAATCAAATAAAGATGGAAACTATGAATAAAAAATACTCTTCCAGCATTAGGGAATGTGGGCATTCCAGAAAGAACAAGTTAAGAAAATTTCCAGGAAATAAGAAAAAGTTTTCTAGAATTGGAGAGTAGATGATTTTAGATTAAAAGGGCTCACCAAATGCATAGTTAAATGAATGGAAAAAGATTCACGCTGTCATAGGTTGAGATGAAAACTCATGAGAGCTTTCTACAAAGGACGTTTTAGCGCAAAACCTGTGAAAATTATTAATGCGTATATCTTTTGAGCCCAGAACTAGAACTTCTGGTAACTTATTCTGTAGCTACACAGTCCTTGCCTGTGTATGAAGCTACACATATACAGGTTGTTAATTTGATAATAGCAGAGGATAAGAAATAAGCCAAGTGCGCACCAGTAAGTGACTAAGTCCTTAACGTCCGTCTGTGACAGTGGAGCACCTTCCTTGAAGAGGAAGGAAGCTCTCTCTGTACTGAGGTAGAAAAATTTCCAAGGTATATTATAAAATGAGAAAAGCATAGTAATAGCAGAATTAGCAGTGATTTTCAAAGTGTGGTTTGTGTGTGACTCCCTTTTGAAAGGTTCATGAGGTCAAGACCATTTTCATAATGATACTGGGACACGCTTTGCTTTTTTTCGCTAAGTTGACATACGCACTAATGATACAGAAGCAATGACGTGCAAACTGCTGGTGCCTTAAAACGCATCAAGGTAGTGGCGCCCACATGCACTGTGGTTTTTCATATCTCTTACCACCACACAGTAGTGCTACCAAGGAATGTCTTTAAGGAAGCAGTAAAAGTTACTATGTCTCTTTGAAAATCGCAACCTTGAGTAGCTGGTGGGCACAAAGCACTTTTGGTGCACATTGGAGAAGTTCTCTTAAGGAAAAGCACTTGCATGATTGTTTCAGTTGCAAGTTGAACTCACCCTGTTTTTCATGGAACACCGTTTTTTCACGGGAGAGCAGCTGACAAGCTATCAGCTGTGGGCATTGGGCAGCCATTTTGTTGAAAACCGTTGAACGAAGTCTGCCGTGCCTAGAAAACAAGTGACATAAAATTTGCGCTCTTGAGCAAAAATTAGAATTTTTGAAAATATACTCACCGTATTCACCACCGTGATCTTGACAGCTTCTCTTATGCCTTGATGGCCACTTCTGTTAAGATTTGTGGCGAAATTTTGTTATGGATGTGACTTTTTGATACTGTGTGATATGTCAGCATTTGGAATACCTGCATATACTCATTCAAAATGCCAAGTGTTTAAAAATCCTGCATGGATAAAAAAATCTAGTCCAAGCACAAGATATCCTAGTATAAAACAAAATTTCATTGGCACGGTTTCAGATGCCACACTGCAATGATTCTTTTAGATCATCCAGGAGTCCAATGGCTGAGTTTTGGTGTAGTCTCCAAGACAAGCATCACAAAAATCTGAAAAGGCTACCAAAATATTCCTCCCTCTGGCTACACGTCTTTAAGGCTGGATTTTCTCTATGCGTGTCCCCCCATATATGTGCTACAGAAAAGATTGAATGCACAAACAATTCTGAGAATCCCAACTACTGAGCCAGACATTAGAGATTTTAAAAAATGTAAAACAGTGTCGTGCTTCTCATGAATTTATTTTGTTTGGAAAATATAATTAATTTTCATAATCTTACATTACATGTAATAAGTTTATTCCTTTTAATGAATTATTAATTACCAGTTTTTTTTTTTCAGTTTTAGCTTCTCATACAGTAAGTTTCAATAGATTCAAGTTTTATAAATAAAAACTCTGGGGTAGGGGTGCCTGGGTGGCTCAGTCATTTAAGCATCTGACTCTTGATTTCAGCTTAGGTCATGAGATCAGGCCCTGTGTTGTTCTCTGTGCTGGATGTGGAACCTGCTTAAGATTCTCTCTTTTCCTCTGCCCCTCCACCCCCAATCCCCTCTCTCTCCCTCTCTTAAAAAAAAAAAAAAAATTCTGGGATATTCAGTAATTTTAAGTGTATAAAGGGAACCAAAAACAAACAAAAAAAGAAAATAGTTGGTATGGTATACCTTACCTTTGTTAAAACAAGATGAAAATAAGATTATATTTTCAGTTTGTTTGCTTGTATATGAATTAAGGAATTCTGAAAGGATATCTTAGAAACTAAAAATAGTGGTAACCTTTGGAGTAGGACTGAGGGAGTGTCGAGAAGTAGGCAGACAGAATATAAGGATGGGAGGGAGATTTCATGCCATATAACTTTATACATTTTCTATTTGTTCCATGTGATTATATTACATATTTTTAAAAGTTCTACTCCGTGACATGTTGTTAGGAAGTTTTAGAAAAAAGGAAGGAGAGCCCAGAACCTGCCAGAGAGGGAGTCATTTTATTTTTCTTTTCAGATCTGCAGTGGTACGAAGGTCCAACACCAGCCCACTGGGCTTCCTCCGGCTGGGATCCTGCTCCCCAGCGCCCGCAGACACAGTGCAGACAGTCGGACGAAGACTCTCCACTGGATCTTCCAGGCCTTACTCACCTTCCCCTTTGGGTAAGGAGAGTGGAACTGTTGTTTTCACCTTTTTTCCACTGTGGCAGATCTGACATGATACTGTCTTTAGGAGCGCTGGCTCATGATGGCAGTGAGTTTCAGCTTACAGGGAGCCATATCGTACCCCGCCCACTCTCGACCTTCTCCTCGGCCCGTGTCAGCATCCCCAGATGCGTTTGTCTTTGTCGGGACGGCTGTTGGAAATGTGAAATGGATCTCATGGATAAAAAGTATCTCCACTGGGTTTGGGCTCCAAACGCACAAAATCAGAAACCCTACATAATGATTGCATGAAACACCTACCCTACTGACCACTCAGATTTGTGATGATTAAGAGACACTCGTGTGTACAGCAGCGCTGGCTTGGGTCCCCCAGGGGCCTTCCAGCTCCGGGAGGAAGATGGTGGCAGCTTCAGCCTGGGTCTTTCCACCTCGCCTGGGAAGTCTGCAGGGCACAGGGGGGATCCCCGCACGAGCAGCCCCACAGCCCAGGCAGCAAAACCCCAAACAAACAGGAAAACGAACCTAAAACCACAGGTTTCATGAACTGAGAGACAAAATGCTCCAACTTCAGAAAACATGCAAGACAGGCCAAAGCGGCTGAGACTGCAGAATCTGAGGGAGTCGGTGTGGCCGTGTCGCGGGGCAAAGCGGGGTCAGGGGCAGAGAGGGCCCCGGGGAAGCAGGTCTCAAACTGGGCCCCCCATATAAATAGATATATATTTTTTTACTTCTAAAAGGTAAATTTTTATACCCCTGTATAGGGCTCAACTCTCAGGCAAAACTGCTGAGGTAAGAGTAGGGAACATGAAGAAATTCCAAAAGGAGGCAGAGTGCGAAGGATTGAAGTATGCCTAGGAGCCCTGATTCAAAAAAACCCCACTGTAATGATAGTTTTTAAAAATGTGTATCACCACACCTATTGCAGTGGTTCCGAAGCTGCTGTTTAGCTGAAAAATCTTCCCTGAACAAAATCCTGGCCCTCCCTCACCCCCTCAGCAGTTCCTGAGGCACCTCAGGGTCTCCCGAGATAAGAGCCAAGCCTTGTCCTTGCCCTCAAGGAAAAGGCCCCTCCTCGGGCTCTAACCTTGCTTGCCTGTGTAACCACCTGGTTACAGACCTACGTCTCCTGTCTGCTTCATCTCCCTGAGCTCTCCCAGCTCTTCCTCCGGTTGGTTTGGGTTCTCAGAGGTGGATGCAGAGAAGGGAGCTGCAGAGACGTGCCAAAACGACAGGGGAGGCGCCTGGGATGGGTGCGGGGGGCAGGGAAAGGAGGGCTCTGGGGGAGGCCCTTCAGACCTCGTTGCAGCCCGACCCCTGTGAGGGAGAGGGGAAGTAGGAGGAGTGGGCCCGGGAACCTTGACTAGAGTGACTAGAGTGAGTTAATTCTAAGGACGTTTTAGCCAGGCCCCAGGGGTGTCCCCAAGCCCTAGATGGTCCAAATTTCCTGACCTGCTTGAACCAGCCTGAACGAATGCCACGTCCACGTGCAGGTGTTGGCTGCGAGCAGCCTCGGGGAGCAAGGCTTGGGACGGGCGGCAGGATCGTGGTGGGTGCAGAAGGACAGCAGCTGGGCCATCCGCCGGCTGTGCGGTCCACTGGCTGGGCCTCCTGCAGCTCCACAGCCTCCAACACCACGAGCTCCTTCCTCCTCTGTCTGAAGTGACCTACCGGTTGCAGGCATTGGTTTGTTCCCGTGGCTTGCTTTCCTGCTGCCCTTGTTTCAAGGCCGGTTCTGCGGTTCTTTAGATCGTTGTGTGCCCAGCACCCCGCACCCTGCACGCTGGTCAGTAAGTGCCCGCTGGAATAAAGCTTTGCTCATCCGGGTTTGCTGACTGTCATGTACGGCGCAGCTGGTGCATGGCTCACCTGCTCCTTCCGGCACTGGTTTTGAATCACGTCTCGCTCCTTTCCCCGTTTCCCTGCTCACAGTTGGGACCATTCCGGAGCAGCTGAGTCAGTGCTGCTGTGGGCATCCTCAGGGTCACGAATCCAGGAGTAGAAACTCATCAGGTAGGAGATCTGTTTGGCATATTAATAATTTCAATCCTGTTATAAGTGGATTTGAGTTATGTTTTTCTAGTCTTACCAAAGGAATAGAACTGATATGAAATATTCTGTTGTCCTACTTTCTAGGATCTTGGTCTAATAGGCTTTAGCATATCATATAGTTAATCAGATATCTCCTTTGGGTATCTTTTCTCCTGGAAATTGTTAATTAACGGAGCTAAATTTTGGTCATTGTCGTGTAGATAGTAAAAACCAATCTAGGGACACCTGGGTGGCTCAGTTGGTTTCTGCCTTTGGCTCAGGTCGTGATCCCAGGGTCCTGGGATTGAGCTCTGTGTCAGGCTCCCTGCTCGGCGGGAAGCCTGCTTCTCCCTCTCCCACCTCCCACCTCCCCTCCTGGCTTGTGTTCCCTCTCTCACTGTCTCTCTCTCTGTCAAGTAAATAATAAAATCTTTGAAAAAAAAAAAGGAAAGAAAACCAATCTAGAAAATGAAATTTCATTCCTTTGATTAATACTGTTCTTGATAACAGCTGCTAGTTAGCATGAGATAAACAAGAAATATAGTTTATTTGCTTTAATATAAAATATATAAAAGATATGTGCAAATCACACTTTTATTGGTCAAATTTTATATGTGAATTTGAGGAGTTGGCTAATTAAATGAATCCTGTGTCACTGAGAAAAGCACCTTTTCTTAGTTTTTCAGTTTTTCACATTTTGTTTCCCTAAAAATAAATCTTAAATAACTTTCTCCAGATTTATAACATTCTGCTACTAATTTTATTTATTTCTATGTGCATATTTATGCATATATACACATACACACACAGAGAGAGACGGCAGAACCCAATTCTGAAAGATTAAATACCAGATTTAGGATGAGATTAGGCTATTATTGGTTGTTCTGTATTTAAACTGTCCATGCTGCCCTGATGTCCACCTAAAGGTATCTTTGCTTGTTGGTCTGATAATTTCCCAGCACTGACAGATCTAGAAAGAAGGAACGATGTTCATAATGGAAAGTATACTTTATTTTATTTACTTTTTATTTTTTTATTTGTCAGAGAAAGAGCACAAGCAGGCTAGAAGCAATCAGTAGCGAAAGGTCCAATTTCCTTTTTGGGAAGATAATGGTTATAGGTCTGTACCTATAAATTATTGGTGGTAGTTTGGCTTGCAACAAGCTCCGAAGAATTTGTAACTGGGCTTAGTAGACCTGAAGTTGGCAACAAGGTCTATGCGGGGCAGTCCTCTTGCTGTTGCCAGCCGTTCACCATATCGGGACCCTATTTCTCGGGCTCTTACTGCGGTGTCCCCTGAGGAGGCAAGAGTTTCTGTGGACGAGGGTTTTCTTTGTGGAGAAGAGGGACGCCTTAGGTTACAAATGAATTTCATTCATGAGACTAATAAAAATAATTAAATTATCTATATATGCTTGTGATTTTTAGACAAGTAAAATAAAATCCCAGAAAAGTGTATTATTTAATTAGATAAAGGGTTATTCTGGATTGGTTTGAAAAGTTTCTTTTAGCTGCTAGGTGAGAAAAGAGAGTAATACACTGATATCCCCAAGTGTGCATTCACATAAGTAGAAATCATGTGGTTTCGGTTCAACCGAGGTTTTCGTAGGTTTTTTTTTTTTTTTTTTTTAAGATTTTATTTATTTATTTGAGAGAGAGAGAACATGAGAGGAGAGAGGTCAGTGAGAGAAGAAGACTCCCTGCCGAGCAGGGAGTCCGATGTGGGACTCGATCCCGGGACTCCAGGATTATGACCTGAGCGGAAAGCAGTCGCTTAACCAGCGGAGGCACCCAGGCGCCCAGGTTTTTGTAGTTTTTATTGACATTGATCATTTATGATGTAGTTCTCTTGTGCTAATTAGAGTTATCTGCTAGCTGCTGCTAAGAGTGGCTAACGTACCCACCACCATTACCACCTATCCCCAAAATCATTTCTTGCCAAATACACAATTTTTAAAATATCTCCTGAAGAACATGACATTCACTCGACTTTCCATTTCGAGAACTGTCCTCTGACTTCTTCAGTGTTTGCCTGTGCTCTGGGTTAACCTGCCTGTGTGTCCGTGGCAGGTTCCCCAGGGCCACCGGCTCCGTCACCACAGTCTCTCCTGTCGGGCGCTAGGCTGCAGAGCGCCCCGACCCTCACCGACATCTACCAGAACAAGCAGAAACTCAGAAAGCAGCACTCAGACCCTGTGTGCCCGTCCCACGCCGGGGCTGGGTACAGCTGCTCACCTCAGCCCAGTCGGCCCGGCAGCCTCGGAACCTCTCCCACCAAGCACACGGGGTCCTCTCCTCGCAGTTCAGACTGGTTCTTTAAAACTCCTTTACCAACCATCATTGGCTCTCCTACTAAGGTGTGTTCGTTAAGCTCTTTAGTCGGCATGACGACTTTGTTCAGTTAACGTTCATTACGTGGAGCACGGGGTGCTGTGTGGTGAGCTCAGGTCCGGCAGCAGACCACCACAGAGAGACGGGAACAGAGAAGTCCGTTGCTCACGTGTCTTGGCAGAAGTACCTGGCATGCCTCAAGAGCCTACACGGGGACGTCCAGGCAGGTGCAGACAGAGACAGGACCCAGGGCACATGCCTTTATTAGGGTCCGGGATGGAGGACTTTGGGGTTCCTGAGCTAAAGCAGGATTGGTCAGTTTGAGCCAAAAAAATGGGATTCTAGTAAGCTCCACACGAGTCTTCGTGTGTGCAACATCCAAGGGGAAAGCAAGGGGTCTAGCAAGACTAGACCACCAGGGGTGTTGGAGGAGTCATCTCCAGAATTTAAATGTACTTGTGACCACAGTTGCTCTCGAGGGCCTGCACTTGCACGCGGGGCCGGTGTCCGTTTAAGGCCCTGCAGCTGCGTGGCCACATGGAGTGATGCGGAGTCCGCAGTGCTGTGGGGTAGCTTAGCTGAGCTCGCGACAGTAGTCCCCTTGTCCCCCGGGGATGTGCTCCGAGACCCTCCGCAGTTGACTGAAACCACAGATAGTACGATAAAGTTTAATTTATAAGTTAGGCACGGTGAGAGATTAATAACCATAACTGATAATACAATAGAAGAGTTATAATAGGCCACAGTGAAAGTTAAGTGAATGTGGTCTCTCTTTCTCACAATACACCGAAAATATATATAATATATAATAATCATGGGGCCGTTTTTTTTTTTTAAGATTTTATTTATTGGGGTGCCTGGGGGGCTCAGTCAGTTAAGCATCTGCCTTCGGCTCAGGTCATGATCCCGGGGTCCTGGGATCGAGCCCCACATCAGGCTCCCTGCTCAGCGGGGAGCCTGCTTCTCCCTCTCCCTCTGCCTGCCACTCTGCCTGCTTGTGATCTCTGTCAAATAAATAAATAAAATCTTTAAAAAAATTATTTATTTGAGAGAGAGAGAAAGCACAAGTGATGGCGGGAGGGGCACTGGGAGAGGGAGGAGCGGAGGATGTGAGGTGGGAACAGGCCTGCGTGGGGAGATGAAGTGAGGGAGTGATGTAGGCATATGACCCAGCGTTAGGCTACCACTGACCTTCTGCCGGTGTATCGGAAGGAGGATCACCTGCTTCCAGACCAGGGTCGGCCACAGAAGGCGAAGCCTTGATGGGGGCTACTGTGCTTGGTAGAAAAGATTCATGGTGATACTGAATAGCTACCATTTAAGGAGGACTTGCCGTGAGCCAGGCACAGTCTAAGTACTTCATGCCGAATGCTTTTTATATATGATGCCACTGATTCCCGAAGAAAGGAATTTGAGGCCAGAGAGAACGAGTGAGCTGTCCACGGCTGCAGAGGCTGTCAGTGGAAGAGTCAGGATGTGAATCGAGGTCTGACTTCGGTCTGACGATTCTGAATGCTGCATGCGGGGTAGTAACCGGCTTGCGTGTATTTCCTCAGACCACGGCTCCTTTCAAAATACCTAAAACGCAGGCGTCTTCCAACCTGCTAGCCTTGGTGACTCGCCACGGGCCCTCTGAAGGGCAGACGAAAGACGGGAGCGACCCACGGGAGTGCCCTCATTGTCTCCTAGCTCAAGGCGGCGAGAGGCAGAAGCCTGAGCAGCAGAACAAAGCGGTGTTTGGCAGGTAAAAGACACCGTTTCCTCCCAGCCTTCAGTGTGAAAACTGCAATAGCACATCTCTTTCTATGATAAAGACAAACCAGACCAAATTAGTTTAGCAGCTGGTTTACACCACTTGGGTAATGATATGAACTGTATACATTAAGATTCTCTGAAAACCACAGGTGCTTCCTGTGACTGAATACAGAGTCCTCACTGAATTTCCTGAATGTTCTAGGTCTGCTTTTTGTTTGGGTTATTGAAGTTCGTCTCTGCCCTGAATTGTCTGGTATCTACTTTTTGTCTCCTCATTCTCTGACTTCCCTTTAACCGTTTTGTGGCTTGGCTTTAATCTCCCTTATTATTAAATATTGGGATTTTTACAGTATACTTTCCAGGGATGTCTGGGTGGCCTCTGTCTTCAGCTCAGGTCATGATCGCAGGGTCCTGGAATCCAGTTCCACATTAGGCTCCTTGCTCAGCAGGGAGTGTGCGTCTCTCTCTGCCTCTGCCTGCCTCTCTGCCTGCTTGTGCTCTCTCTTTCTCTGATGAATGAATGAATGAATAAATAAATAAATAAATTTTAAAAATTAAATAAAGTATACTTTCCATTATGAACGTCATGCCTTCTTTCTAGATCTGTCAGTGCTGGGAAATTATCAGACCAACAAGCGAAGATACCTTTAGGTGGACATCAGGGCAGCACGGACAGTTTAAATACAGAACGACCAATGGATATAGGTAAGAAAATGGGGTTTCTTTCTAGGTAAGTAATTTGCTAGTATGTGCATTGGTTTACTGTTATTGCTACCACAGATTAGCACAAGTGTGCTGTTTTTAAAACAACACAAACATAGCGTTGTACGGTTTCAGAGGTCAGAGGCCTGCAGTGGGTTTCTCTGGGCTAAAATCAGTATGTTGACAAGGCTGCATTCCTTCTGGAGGCTGTAGGGGAGAATGCATTTCCTAGGCTTTTCCAGCATCTAGAGACTGCCCTCATTCCTCGGCTTGGGGTCCCCTTCCATCTTGAAAGCCAACGATGGCCGGTCTAGACTCCGACCTCCTGCCTCCCTATTCTACATTTAATGGACCCTTGTGATTACGTTGGACCTGCTGGATAATCTAGGATAATCTCTTTATGTTTAAGCCAGTTCCATCTGCAACTTTAATTACCTTCTGCCATGTAATGTAGCCTATTTACAGGTTCCAGACATTAGTCCATGGACATCTTTGGCCAGGTTGGAGGGCAGGAGAAATAATTGTTTTACCTATCTGCTTCTGCTGACTGTTCACACACTCCCTGAGATTTCTTCACCCACTCCCTGCCACTTCATCTTTTCTCTTAGCACATCAGACAGATGCTTGTGGGGTGTCTTAATCACCACCAGTTCTGAGTTAGGAGGAATTCTGACCCAAGATTGGTTTTTATTGGTGGGGTAATACTGACCAAAGTTAGCTTAAATACACTTGTACTCTTGAGCATTTCTTATACAGTGAGTGAGTAGATCCTATAAAAAAATACCATGGGTCACTGAGATCCCCTAGCCTTTTTCATAGTTGTTTCAGGGACTGTTATGTCTACAGATCTACAACTAGATTACTTGGATTACTGCTTATCAAAAAATAAAACAAAGGGCAGGTTGTGGACCATAACCCAGACTTATTTAACCAAATTTTCAGGGAATGGATTCTGGGAATCAGTACTTTTAACAAACTCCTGGGTTCCTGAGTGGCTCAGTTGGTTAAGTGTCTGCCTTCAGCTCACGTGATGCTCCCAGGGTCCTGGGATCGAGCCCCACATTGGGCTCCCCACTCAGCAGGGAGCCTCCTTCTCCCTCTCCCACTGCCCCTCCCCACCCCCACTCATGCTCTCTCAAATAAATAAATAAAATCTCAAAAAAAATACCCTCTCCATGATTATTATGTATATAATAATATACACCTAAATTTGGGATTCACCATTGTAATCTTTTCTCATTTTCTCTATAATTTTTTACTGACTCTCCCATTAGCATCTGAAGAAGGAAATAATCTGGACCATCAAATATCTGATTGAACATGGTTTCTAATCCAAAGAGACTACTCCACTCTTTTCTTGCTTGCATGGTTTCTGAAGAGAAGTCCAATGTAATTCTTACTCTTGTTCTTCTATAGGTGAGGTGCTTTTTCTTTGGCTTCTTTCAAGATTTTTTCCTTGTCTTTGATTCTGTGCAGTTTGATATATGTCTAGGTGTAGTTTTTTTGGTATTCATCCTGGTTGGTGTTCTCTGAGCTTCCTGGATATGTGGTTTGGTTCTGGCAGTAATTTTGGAAAATTCTCGATCATTACAACTACAAATATTTCTTCTGTTCCGTTCTCTCTCTCTTCCCCTCTGATATTCCCTTTACATATATGCTATACTTTTGTAGCTGTCCCACAGTTCTTGACTATTCCGTCTTTGTTTTCATTTTTCTTTGTATTTGCTTTCCAGTTGTGGAAGTTGATATTGGCTCATCTTCAAGCTAACTGTTTCTCTCCTGAGCCATGTCCATCTACTGGGGAGCTCATCAAATGCATTATTCATTTCTGTTTCAGTGATTTTGATTTATAATGTTTCCTTTTGATTCTTTTGTAGAGTTTCCATTCTCTCTGTTTATGTTACCAATCTCTTCTTACATGTTGTTTACTTTTCCCTAATGAGCCCTTAGCATATTAACCATATTTATTTTAAATTTTTAGTCTGATAATTCCAGTCTGTGCTGTATGTGAGTCTGGTTATGAAGATTGCTCTGTTTCATCAAACTGTTTTTACCATTAAGTATATCTTTTAATTTTTTTTTTTTGAAAGCCTGACCTGATATATTGGATAGCAGGAATTGAATTAAATATCATGAAGTTTTTTTGTTTTCCCGTTTAGGAGTTAGGCTGTGCTTAGTGTTTGTTGTAGCTGTAGGTGTCAGGCTAAACCTCTCTATGTTCTTTTTGGGTTTCCATAGATACCCCTTCTTAAATAACATCTGACACCCTTGCCTAACTCTGTATTCTTTCCTGAGAGGTTGTTTTTTTTTTAAGATTTTTTATTTATTTATTTGACAGAGATCACAAGTAGACAGAGAGGCAGGCAGAGAGAGAGGGAAGCAGGCTCCCTGCTGAGCAGAGAGCCCGATGCAGGACTCGATCCCAGGACCCCGATATCATGATCTGAGTCGAAGGCAGAGGCTTAACCCACTGAGCCACCCAGGCGCCCCTTTACTGAGAGTTTTGTATCTTAGCTCTTACATGTAGACCTGTGATCCACTTTAACTGACTTTCTTGTGGATGATGTGATGTAGGGGTCCGACTTCATTCTTTTGTGTATAGATATTCAGTGGTGCCAGCACCGTTTATTGCAAAGATTATTCTTTCTTCCATATTGCATTGTTTTGTTAGCCTTGTCAGAAAAATCTGTCGACTATAAATGTGTTTATTTTTGGATCCTAATTCTATTTCACCAATCTATGTGTCTTTTATTGTGTTGGTACCATACTGCCTTATTATACCTTTATAAGTAACCAAGGAAATGAGAGTCCTTTGTTCTCCATTTTCAAGATTGTTTTGGTTATTCTGGGTCCTTGAGTTTCCATTGTGAAATGGAAATTTTATGAAGTGAAATTTTCTCCTGGACTGCTAAGTTGCTTTCACATATGAAAATCAGTTAATGTAATACATAATACTCAATATGCTAGAGATAGAATTTACGCACCTGATAAAGAACATCTATGAAAAATGCACAACCTAACATCGTATTTGAAGGTGGAAGATTGAATATTTTCCCTGTAAGATCACGAAACAGACAAAGATACCCATTCTCACCACTTCTATTCTACATTGTATCAGAGGCTCTAACCAGGGCAGTGGAGCAAAAACAAAAAACAAAACACCCAGCTTGGAAAGGAAGAAGTAAAACTACCTCTCTTCACAGATGGCATGATTTTGTATGTAGAATATCCTAAGTAATCCACTAAAAAACTATTTGAACTAATAAATTCAGCAGCATTGCAGAGTACAAGATCAGTACCCCAAAATCCACTGTATTTCTTATACACTGGCAAGAAACAATCTGAAAGTGACATTAAGAAAACAATTCTGTGTAAGATACCATCAGAAATAATAAAATACTTAGGAACAAATTTATACTTGTAAACTATAAAACTTTGGTTCTGGAAACTACAAAACACTGATGAGATAAATTAAAGAAGACATGAATAAATGGAAAGAAACCCTGTATGTATAGATCAGAAGACTTAATATTGTTAAGTTGGCTGTACTTTCCAAATTGAGCTTAGACTGAACGAAACCTCTGCATGTGACACATGATTTTCCTCTTACTGCTCCGAAGGCTGTCTCCTAGTATTTGGCTTTTATGCTTTTACTGTGATGTTTCTGGGTGTGGCTCTCTTTGAGTTTATCTTCCGTTGAGTTTGTTGAGCTTCCTGGATATACAGATTAATGTTTTTCATCAGACTTGAGAAATTTTCAGCCATTATTTATTTGGATATTCTTTTCTGCTTTTTTCTGCCTCTCCTCTCCTCCTGGCACCCCTAGCATGCATATAATACACATTATGCATAGGTACACTTAGTGATGTCTCCTAGTTCTTTTGAGGCTCTCTTTTCGCTCTGTGATGCACATTGTACAGTCTCTATCGATTTATCTTCAAGTTCATGGATTCTTCCTTCTGCCAGTTCACATGTGCTGTTGAACCCCTGTAGTGAATTTTTAATTTCAGTTATTGTTCTTTTTAACTCCTGAATTTGCACTTGGTTCTTTTTTATAATCTCTCTCTTTAATGATATTCTCTATTTGATGAGACATTATGATCATACTTTACTTTAAAATTTTTCTTATTTGAGTATAGTTGACATACAAGTTCGCATTAGCTTTAGGTGTACGACATAGTGATTCAGCATCTCTATACATTACGCTGTGCTCGCCACAAGGGTAGCTGCCATTTGTCTCCATACATCACTATCATGGTATCCTTGCCCGTATTCCCTGTGCTGTACCTTTTATTCCCATGACTTACTCATTTCTTAACTGCAAGCCTGTATCTTCTACTCCTCTTCACCCATTTTGCCTTTTTCCCCTCACCTCCCCTCCCTCTTGCAACCATCTGTTTGTTCTCTGTATTTATAGGTTTAATTCTGCTTTTTGTTTATTTTGTTTTTCCAGTTCCACATGTGAGTGAAATCACATGGTATTTGTCTTTTTCAGTCTGAGTTATTTCACTTGGGCATGATACCCTCTAGGTCCATCCATGTTGTCACAAAGGGCAAGAGCCCATCCCTTTTTATGGCTGTGTAATATTCCACTGTATAAGTAAAACACCTACACCACATCTTCTTTATCCATGTCATCTGTTGATGGACAGTTAGGTTGCTTCCATATCTTTGCTATTGTAAATAATGCTGCATTGAACATAAGGGTGCATATACCCAGGTGCCCCTAAGTGGTTGTTTGTTAAAGAAAGAATTTTTACCGCAGTGCCTCTGTGACGCAGTTAGTTAAGTATGTGACTTTTGGTTTCTGCTCAGTTGTGATCTCAGGGTCGTGAGATCGAGCCCCATGTTGGGCTCCCTGCTCAGTGCCAAGTCTGCTTAAGACTCTGTGTCTCTCACCCCCTACTCCCCACTCTCTTTCTGAAATGAATAAGAAAATTAATTTTCACCAGTTACAGTTGTTTCACTGAGAAGCAGGCCTCTGATGCTGCTCACACTTAACACAGCCATTCTGAAAGTCGTCGTTCTGTGTGCTGTTTTCCAGAAGTCAGTCATTACGAGTGGAACAGTTTTTGGAATTAACTTGTTTGAAAAACCGTATTATGTCTCATCCCCTTTTACAAATTAATTTAAATTTATAGGGTTTGTAAGGTCTGCATGAATATGTGTTGTAATTTAAGTCCAAGTTTGTGTGTATGAAACCAGATTTTTCTCCCTAAACAACATTTAGGCATAAAATGCATCTTTGATCATTTTTATCCTCTTTTTCTCTTCTCTTTTCCACATGAACTTTACTGTCATCATTCGAAATCAGATTTCTCTTTCTAATCATGAAGTCTCCATTTCTGAAAATAAAAACTGCTGGTAATAGGAAAAACTTAAGACCTTAAAAGAAGTGGGGTCATTGTCTCTTAAAATACATCCATAACCATATTTAAATACATGAATACCTACAAATAGATACTGTTTAATTAATTTCCACTTACAGTTCGTGGCTTCCTAGGAGATTTGTATAAACTCTCTGTTCTGTTAATTAGATGCTTCAAGTTTGTTATGCTCTGTTGTGGATAGGATGGACACTGATGGTAGGTTTTTTCTGTATCTGGTTTTAAATTTGTGATTTGTGTTGTTAACTCCCACCTCCATTCTGTGTCCTCAGAAATGTAATGTTTTTGAGATGCTTGAGTGTGAAAAGGCTTTGGACACCTTTTGTTGATTCTGTGTAGTTTGGTGGAGAGGGACTTTCCACCTTCCCTTTCTTTAACCCACACCAGCCCATCAGGGCCCCTGACATTGGGTCCACCCCCATTTCTTCCTGACAGATATACGGCTGCAATTCCAAGGCCCACGTGTACTTTGACTCAACTTTCTCTGGCTCTTACACCGTGGAGAGTGCTGATCTCCCTTCATCTTTCCCTCATATTTTTATCCTAAGTTCTTGGTTTCAACTTTTTCGAATGATCCATAACAGGTGTGACAGCAGCTCATGTCCCTTAGAAGTCTATGAAGTGACTCTGAGTCACTTTTGGTGTAAGGAAGGTTCACAGCTGAGAAGAGAGTACTGTAAAATACTACTAATGCAGATCTGTGTTGACTTTCTGACGTTAAGAGTAATAAGTACCTAATGTAAAAAAGCCCCCAGAAACCCAACTATAAAAGTAATGGTTTCCCTGTAACCCCGCCCCCAAATCAAAACACCATGGAAGCGACGTAACATTGTGTGAACTTTTCGCTGTAGCCCCTGCAGGAGCTTGTGGTGGTGGACTGGCACCTCCTATAGGAACAGCAGCAAGTTCCAGAGCTGTCCTGTTCACTGTAGGATCTCCTCCACACAGTGCCACGGCCCCCACTTGTACCCATATGGTCCTTCGAACAAGAACAACCTCAGGTGAAGAATTGTCTTATTATCATTTTGGCTTGTGTTTGGAGTGCAGTGTTCTGTCGATGACTTGATGCGACTCGGGCGAGTCCCTCAGCCTCTCTGGACTTCAGTTTCCTTACCAGTGACATTGAGATCATCACTTTCTTGACCTCAAAGGGGTTATAAGGCATAAGTGGGATGTTATTTGTAGGGGGGAACCTTTGTAAGATAAGAGCACTGCATGTTGATAACACTGTATTATAGTGGTATAATGTACCTGTGACTTCTCCATGATGAAGGAGCGGCGCGTCTGCGGTGCTCGTTATGTCTTTATATTAAAGGCGTATTTCAGTACCTCTGGTAAATTTTTTGGAATGGTAGATGGTTGTTTATCTTTGCTTTTGTTCTTAGAAACCTCAGTTTCACATTTTTTCATAGTCCGGGTCCTAATCTTTGCACTTAGCCCTACCTGCATTTAGATAGGCCAGTAGACTGGTTTTATCATCCATTCTCTATAAATAGGTTATTAGTACCCCAAATTAAGGAAGTATTTAGCTTGGATTGGAAATGAGTTATCATTTAGCATTGTTGTCTGTATTGTACCTTGTGTCCTTTAAATTCTCTTCTGCTACGAAGTTACCAATCAAAATGTTGGGAGATTTATAAGCAAAGGATTATAAACAGGTAGCGAGAGAGGAAGTAGAGTCAATCTTGTTCTTCAGATTATTGAAAGTATTAAATAATAGTAAAATGTCATGTTCAGAAAGTGACATTTTATACCTGTTAGCTCAGCCAGCGCTAGAAGATGGAGTGCCCAGCGTTGCTCAGGTGTGGTAGGTAGGGTCTGTGTGCTCACACCTGGGGTTGAAAGTAGTGCGGCAGTTGTCACAAGAGCTGTGAAGATGTAACATTTGACCTTTGGTAACCCCATTCCTGTTTATAATACCACTTCAGAGTACTTAATCACAAATGAATCATCCAAAAGAAGGGAAAACTTTGGATTTCATTACAGTGTTATCTGTGGCTTAAAAAAACCAGAAATAGTGTAAATCCTCCAGACAGTCATCACATACAGAAGTGTACGGAACTGCTGTGCCTCTGCTGCGTTCTATGATGAGGAGGACTATGGCGCTACGGGGAGAAGTGTATACGCTATAAACTTGTTTAAAACAAGCCATGAAGGGGCGCCTGGGCAGCTCAGTCGGTGAAGCGGCCGCCCTCAGCTCAGGTCATGATCCTGGAACCCCAGGAAGGAGCCCTGCATCCAGCTCCCTGCTCGGTGGGGTGTCCGCCTCTCCCTCTGCCCCTCCCCCTGCTCTTGATCTCTCTCTCTTTCTCTCTCTCTCTCTCTCTGGCTCACTCGCTCTCGGATCAATAAATAAAATCTTAAAAAATAACCTAGCCATGATGATGTCGATGAAATAGATGTATAAACAAGGAATAAAGTTGACCTTGGAGAAATTAAACCTCTTCATAGGCTCCACTGGGGGGTCCGTGACTGTTGCCGGGCTGGTGGGAGGGGCGGGCGCAGCCCACCTGCCCACGTGCTCACAGTCCTGTCCCCTTGCAGCCGGCTCCAGCAGCCCTGGGGGCTCCCTGTGCTCCGCCAGCAGCCGCGTGTGTGTGGGCTCCCCGCCGGGGTCCGGTTGGGGGGCTTCCCCTCCGGGAGCTGAGGCTGCTCCCAGCCTGAGATACATGCCATATGGTGCTTCACCCCCGAGCCTGGAGGGGCTCGTCACCTTTGAAGCCCCGGAGCTGCCGGAGGAGACGCTGATGGAGGTGAGAAGAGCCGCGGAGGGCTTTCTAGCCACGGGGGAGCGGAGAGCAGACTGCTCCCAAAAGTGCCTGTTTGTTTTTGTTTTTGTTGTTGTTTTTCTTTTCTTTACCTCGCCTTGTCTTTTCTATTTGAAAGCCACTGCTGACAGGCTTTCAGAATAATGTGGACAGTGACACTCATCCAGAACAAGCTTTGGTTGATGGGAAGTGACAGATACAGATTTTTCGTCTGAAGTTTAGTTTCTTTCCATCGGTAGGACTTGGAAAGCATAATCTTGGTCCTGAAACCAGAACTTTTTATTTTCAGTGTTTGCTTTTCTTTATAACATAAAAATGACACACTTAGGCTTAAAAAGTAATCAAGCGTAATGAGATGCGTCACTAACCCTGAGAAATAACCCTAGCAGGCAGATGCTCGCATTGGTAGACCAGCCCCTGCCCTCCTGGAGCCCGTTGTGCAGGGAGACCCGCATCAGAATCCTGCGAACACAGACTGAGAACAGGCGAGGTTCATTCGGTGACTGCAAAGGCTGTGCCAGTTCAGTTCCTCAGTCCTGCCTCCCGGACAGCATTTGGGAGCCCACACTGTGTCCTCCTGCTGATTACAGTGCTGACTTGGCTTGCATTTCCGGTTAAAATGATCAGTTCTCCAGACCAACAGAGAACAGATGCTCTCTCTATGCTGGACCTCTAGCATTTCTGTTTTGTGTGAATGAGAATTAGGTATTTCACATAGAAGTTATAAAATGGTGCATGCAAAATATATCAGTGATTTCTTAGCGAATTTAGTCGTAATTTTGAACATGTGTTTAACCCAGGGCTACAGTTGGAAAGGCAGTTGTCAGAGTATTTTCAATCAAATTAGACACAAATTGTTTTCCAGTACATTTAACGGTATATTAGAATATATATGTATACATATATATGTAAGAGTATAGAATATACTATAGATACATATACATATATATACATATATATATGTATACATATATATGTAAGAGAGTAGGGAGACCGTCACAAGTTAATTGGTTTATTCTCCTTTCTCAAGGAAATGATTTTCATCCTTTTTTAATCCTAAAAGGAGAATGAGAAGCTTAGTCTTAGTTAGGATTTCAAGAAACATTTATAGCTAAAAACACATCTCAAAACAAAACTAATTTTAGACTACTCATTTTTAATGCATGCTATTATGTCTACGCTTACTCCCCTCTTTAACTAACTGGACAGCTCACCAAGATTTTAGAGCTTTGGTGTCAGGAATCACTGTGAACTGAAAACCCACTGGAAATTAAAATAAAGCATCTCTCAAACTGTAAGTCAGTAGAATTTGCAGAACTGTCAAGAAGTGTGGTTTAGTGTATGGAATAGCCTTTCAATCCCGGTATTTATTTTGTCATGTTTTGTCTCAGATATTGATTTTATTGTTTAGTTTTGTTGTTGTCATTACGGTTTCTAGTAAAAGCACGTGACCTCATATCTTTGAAACTTAATTTTGTGGCTGCTCTCATCCATACACACAAACGCATGCACACACCCACACACCCACATTGTGTTTCACCTGTGCTTATTTTCCTACTAGTTTTGGGGAATTTAAAAATTGTAGTCTGTTCTACTCATTCTGATGTTCGTACGTATAAAAACACAGTAGCTTCGGCCGCGGTGTACATACAGAAACAAGTATGCCCGTCTTCTTAGTTTCTAAGTTTCTAAGACAATTTGGCTTTGCCACAGAGAGAACACACAGACACCTTACGCCACCTCAATGTGATGCTGATGTTCACGGAGTGCGTGCTGGACCTGACGGCCGTGCGGGGCGGCCACCCGGAGCTGTGCACATCCGCTGTCTCCTTGTACCAGATCCAGGAGAGTGTGGTCGTGGACCAGATCAGCCAGCTGAGCAAAGACTGGGGGTACGTGCCCCCTTTGTCGTTCGCTTCCAAATTCTCCCTGCTTTCTGTAAATTCGTGTCTGAGATGGAGGTCCTGTCAGACACTAGAGATTGTGTCTCATGAAGAGCTTGGTTATGTCACTGGCCTAGATTCCACTTGTGAGCCAAGACTCGAAGATTCTGCAGCCTTAGTATTGCCTCTTCCTTGTGACTTATACTGTTGAAGGTATTTGATGATGAAGAGGTTGTATTGGTTCTTGAGTCTTTTCACACACGTTTTTTTCTGTGCTGAACCTTTTTCCTTCAGGAGTTATTTGTGCATTAAAAATGTAGCCTCTGCCTTCGGCTCAGGTCACGGTCTCGGGGTCCTGGGATCGAGCCCTGCATTGGGCTCTCTGCTCAGTGGGGAGCCTCCTGCCCCCCTCTCTCTGCCTTTCCCTCTGCCTACTTGTGATCTCTCTCTCTCTGTTAAATAAATAAATAAAATATTTTTTTAAAAAAATGTCAAGGAGGATGATACTCCTTTAGAAATGCTCCCTGGTGACCCGATGCGTAGAGGGTGGAGTGGGGGGCATTGGCTCGCAGATAACACTCTCTGCCTTCCTTCCGGCGCAGGCGCGTGGAGCAGCTGGTGTTATACATGAAAGCCGCACAGCTCTTAGCAGCCTCTCTGCATCTCGCCAAAGCCCAGATCAAGTCCGGGAAGCTGAGCCCGTCCACGGCTGTGAAACAAGGTACAGGGGGTGTGCGACAGTATCCGCGTCCACGCCCGCGCCCTCGCGCCGCCCTCTTCCCCTTTACACCGAGAGAGAGTTTGATGTGGTGTCTGTGCTAGTAAAAACTCTTAGATGGGCAAAGATGCTGACTTTTCTGGGTTGTGCTCTTGCCATTTAATTGATACAGAGAACAGCCAAAAGGGCTTTCTTTATTCTCAACTTTTCCTTAACCGGAAGAGAACCCATGAAAGAACCTGATTTCTGGTCATTTTTTTCCCCCAAGGATCATTTAGTGCCACTTTCCTTAAATTGGCAGAAAAGGTGCATGTCACTGTGACTTTATTTTTATTTTGGGAGGAAAATTAAAATTAGCTCTCATCTCGACTTCTTTCCAGTTGTCAAAAATCTGAATGAACGATACAAATTCTGCATCACCATGTGCAAGAAACTTACAGAAAAGCTGAATCGCTTCTTCTCTGACAAACAGAGATTTATTGATGAAATCAACAGCGTGACTGCAGAGAAACTCATCTATACTTGTGCTGTCGAAATGGTAACCCTTTTAAATATTGAATATCATATAGGCCGATCTTCTGAGTTGAATACCTACTTGGCATTTTCCCTTTATTATTATTTTTTAAAGATGTATTTATTTTGAGAGAGATCGCACTAGTGGGGTGGGGCAGAGAGAGTTTCAAGCAGACTCTGCGCTCAGCACAGAGCCCGATGCAGGACGCAGTCTCACGACCCTGAGATCACAGCCTGAGCCAAAACCAAGAGTCAGAGGCTTAACCAACTGCGCCACCCAGGCGCCCTTTGACGTTATCCTTTTAAAAAAAGTTTCTGCCCTTAACCATTCCCAAGCCCCAAACATTGTGACTCCCTCTTAATGACAGGGGTAATTGGATGTCATTAGCCCAAGAAACACATTAATTGACATTGGCTACCACACGTGGTGACATTTTATTGTACCTCTTAAAAGTTGGTCATATTAGGCACAGTCTAATCTTTTTATACTTTGCATCTTTAGCTAGATCTGCATTTTCTGCATTTTCTACTGTTTCAGAAATTTGGGAATAAAACATTAGGAGAAGTCCTGCTGTTCACCAGTGCATGTGCCCCGACTCTGCTTACTGACCTTACCTGAGTAAAGACGCAAAGTAAAATCTGCTTTTCCAACTGTATTGTTGTACTATTGGAAATATTGTTTCTGTCTCATGGGGGGGAAATTGCTCTGAAGTAGAGATGAAATTAGGGACTGTTAAAGAAGTGATTAAGTGGGGGGAATTATTGACCAATCTTATTTTCTCCCACCTCCCCTCCAAATTTGTCCACTTGGAATTGTACTGTTACATTACCCTTGGCCTCATTTTGAAAGCCATTATCAAGTCATAGGAAAATAATTTTGGAATATAAACTGTTGATAAAAATAACAGATATTATTTTGCTCTAAACTATTGCTATGAATAATATGCATTCTGTCACTCTGTACTGAATTAAGACTTCATATGGTATATGATTTTTAGAAGTTTGCCAGGAAAAATGTTCTCTCCAAAGCACTTATGGCGCTTCTTTCTTTTCTGATAATAAGAGCAGTGTAGCTTGAGTAAGTTTGCCCAGGCTGCACAGCAAACTCACTGATACTAGCACTATCTTTAGTTAGTTTTTTCTTCTTCCTTTTCAGAATGGACTTTCTGTACCCCAATTTTTTTTTAATTGTAAGTGACTTTAAAGTATTGTTTGGAAGACACGGATGATATCGACAAATACATTAGGATACTGGGTTACTGACAGTCCTGGCATTTAATGATTAAAGAGAATGTTGACAAACAAAATTCAGCCAAGTAAAACTGGAGATCTGTCTTTGTTAAATGACTCACAAGTCAGGCAGCATCCCACCTAACAAGCGGTGGGGACCTCTGCTGAGCTCAATAAAACAAAGGTTTTTAAAAGGGAAGGAGAGGTCATAAAAAAGAAGAATGGAATTTATTAGTCAGAAGTGCATTGTTCAGGCAAAGTTGCCCTCCTAAGAGGGAGCAGAATGTGTCCATTGACTAGGAAATGCCATGTTGACTGGGTAACGTCACATTCCTGAGTGACCGAGACTGCGTTCAGGTTGGGCATTAAGTCCTGGTTCGCTGACTCACCCTAAGTGATGCCGTCTGGGCCTCATTTCAGAATACTGTTGGGAAAACTTCTGAAATACTCACAACCTGTGACTACTTCTGCTGTCCCTTCTTTCTGGAAAGCTCCTCCCCACCTTTCCCATCACCTGGCCATCTCCTGCTTCTCCTCCAGACTCAGCCTAAACACCACTTCCTGGAGGCTTTCCCTGATCTTCTCTCCATCCATAGTTGGGTTAGACGCACCCAGCGTGTATTCCCTACCATTCTGGGGCTCCCTCTCTAGTACCACGTATCCCTTGGCGTTAGGATGCCATGTTTCCCAGCCCCACGCGTCCCTCTAGACGGTGCGCTCTCCTTCACCATGTGCGGAGCGCCGGGAACACGGGAAGGTGCTCATCACACATCTCTGAACGAATGAACAACTACACCCTTTTGAAAATGCTTTGGTTAAAACAAGCAAAGAGATGACTTCCCCCCCCCCCTCGCAGCCTCCGCGCCCTCCCCTCCCGGGCCGCCCCGCTAAGAGATGACTTTTAACACCACTTACTTATTACAGAATGTACTTTTTTTTAAAGATTTTATTTATTTATTTGACAGACTGACAGAGATCACAAGTAGGCAGAGAGGCAGGCAGAGAGGAGGAAGCAGGCTCCCTGCTGAGCAGAGAGCCCGACACAGGGCTCTATCCCAGGACCCTGGGATCACAACTTGAGCCGAAGGCAGAGGATTTAACCCACTGAGCAACCCAGACGCCCCATTATTATTACAAAATGTACTTTAATGAAGTGTCAGGCTGCGCTAGTGTGAAAGTGTATGTTTAAAAGAAGCTTCTTAGTGCAGTCCTAGAAGAGCCAGTTCAGGAGCGTAAGTTTTGCGAGTCCTGCGTCTGAGTCTGAGATGACGTGAGATCGCAGACAAACTCTTTCGTCAAGAAGCTCCTGTTTTATTTTGCCTCTCTGATGAATTTTTGAGTTTTATATAGTTTGGTAGAGGATATCATTTTGTCAAATGTGTTAATTTTAGATAGATTCCATTAAAAGCTGCATTTGCTCAGATGGATTCGTATTTTTTGGGAAAAGTTGAGACTCTTCTCATTTCTGCCAACTTGGCTTCAGGTTCAGTCTGCCGCCCTGGATGAGATGTTTCAGCAGACCGAAGACATCGTTTATCGCTACCATAGGGCAGCCCTTCTTCTGGAAGGCCTCACTAAGATTCTCCAGGACCCTGCCGACATCGAAAATGTACATAAATGTAAGTTGACTTAGAAGACAGACAACCCAGTTGTCTCCTACAGGTGCAGCAGGAGGAGTGAGCAGAGTTCGGCACCATACGGCCTGGGTTTGGATCTTGGCTTTGGGCCAATCCCTTACCCTTCCCGTGGTCTGTTTCTTCTACTGGAAGATGAGAGAGTTGTTCGAGGGCTCGAGATAATGCACATGAAGTCCTGGTGGCTTCGGATTTTCACACTGCATGACCGTGTTGGCAGATGTGTGTTTGTGTCTGTAGAGAGCTTTGGTTTTATTGTTAATAATAATAAAGGCAACTGTTCTAAGCCTCGTGAACTTATTGGTGACTGAAGACTTTTATGAAGACTCCAGGGTAGATGTAGGATAGACAGCAGAGTGGGGATCAATAGGCTGCCGGGTGATGGTATCATTATCAGAAAGAAGCCCTGGGTTTTGAGGAGGGGATGGTGGGCCCTTCGGAGTGTACGTGCTCATACCACACAGCCTCGAAGGGATGCCAGTTCTGAAATGACTTGCATTTGGGAGCAAGCTGGCCATTCAGACCTAAATGTCCTGTGTTTTACGTGCCAGCCGAAGTTTTGCCACTGCACGTCACCGAGCTGGAAATTACATCCAAACAATTATCAGGCAGAAGGAAGACAAAATACTCAGAATGGCCAACTTTGGGCCAAAGAAAGGTCAGGGACAAGGGTGCACGTGGAGAATTAATGGTGATGGGTTTGGTTTTTTTCCCATTAGTTCTTCTTGCTTTGGTTTTGACAATAGACATGATTTTCATTATGAATTTATTTTATTTCTAGATAAAACTAGTATTGAAAGAAGATTGTCAGCACTCTGTTGTAGCTCCGCGACCCTGTGAGCAGCTGCAGGCTCGTCCCTGGACCAGCAGTGGGACTGAGGAGAGAGGTTTGGGATGACAGCTTGGGTTCTGTTTCCCCAGCCCCAGGAAACCCTAGTCTCCCACCTGGTGACTACCAAAGAACAAGCATGACTTCAAAAAGGAAAACCACCCAAAAAAAACTACAGACTTGTAGGAAATCTGCCTTATTGGAGGCGTCTGCCCTTCCCTTTTCTCTGTAGAAGCAGAAGCAGAAATATTCCACTTGGCTCTCAGTTTTGACGGGGTCAATAAATGGACCTTAGAAATAGAATGATCAGTGCAGTTATTCCTAAGGATAATTAAGAAGGGAACAAAGTAGGTGGCTTTATACTCAGTTCACCAGGGCAGTGTGTGAAATTCCACGCGTTTACTGAGGTATAAACTAAATAAAATAAAATAAAATAAAATAAAAATAAAATAAAATAAAATAAAAATCAACATCTCATCCAGGCAGTGTGATAACTGGGGTCAGTTTGTCTGAACCTGACACGCATCCGTCGACAGCCCAGGAAGAGCGAGCTCGAGAACGAGCTGAGAGAGGCCTCTTGGCAGAAGTGGTGAACTCTTCCATTTGATCGATATGGACACATGTTCATCTTCCAAACTCTTTCGTATTGCACTAATTTATTAAAACACCTGTGTATTGGATTTTGCAATTTAAAACTAACTGAGGCACAATGGACTTGTTTAAAATATTTTACTTGATTATGTTATATACACACACCCTTTCCAGAATTCACATGTAACCTCTAGTGGACTTTTAAATGGTAAAGACTTGTGTTCGTGTGAACCTTTGCATTTTTTTAACCTATCCATCTACACATACAGATTTTCTCAGTGGCGTTTTTGAGTTGCCGGCCGTTTGCTTTCGGTTGTATTTTTTATTGTGCATGCAGAGTGTGCATCGATGCCTGTGATCTCTAGGTTTACTAAAGGCTAGGTTTATTTGGGCAGTATTAGAGAAAAATACCAACTCGGGATCCTCTCAAGAATTTTAATAGGGCCAAAACAAGGTTGGTGACCTAAAGGCTTGTTGGTGATGTGGAGTTTCTCCATGAAGTTAGTGACAAATGAGATTTGTCTTCTCTTAGGAAGATGGGCGGCTCTTTGCAGCCTAAGGTGCATGGTTCGTGTCCGTCCTGACGGTCCACCAACGGCTGGTCACAGAGAACGCGGGCAGGTCACGTCCCTCCAGAAATGGTTCCTGCATCGTATATGGTTTCGTTTCTTTTCCGCACCTGCTTGAATACTTGAATAAACCGTTCTCCGGTTTTAATCCTTTTATTTTTACCCTTTTAGGTAACATAATCCAGACTCTGACAAATTGCACAGAAGCTCTTTGGCATTAATCTAATTTTAAGATACTGATGCAGACAGACAAAAACATGGTTTTTCCTTTACTTTGACGAAGTAATGTAATTTTTACCTTATTTATCTGTATGAAATTCCAGCAGTTAATTTGAACATTTATTTATACAATGTTTGTATTTTTAGGTCTTTAATACAGTGTTTCTACCTCTCATTTGTAACTGCATGCATTATTCTCGAAACTAGGTAAAACTCACGGAATCGTTGTGTAATAGCCTTTTTATTCTTGCGTGTACAGATGTATATTAAGGTAAAATAAAACTGACAAAGTGTTTCTAGGGTAAAGCTGGGTCCATATTACATGGCTTGTCAAGCCAGCTCCTTCCTCTGTGAGTCTGGAGGCTTGGGCATCAATGTCCTTTGTCCTGCCCCAAGATTTTGGATGCTCGGTGACTGTCCCACCGGCTGCCGCGCTCGGAGGGTTCGCGATGGGGTTCCCGCCCTTCCCTGCAGGGCTTCCAAACACTGTTACTAGGAATACTCTGTTTTGTATCATTTTTTTCAAGCCTCCTGGGCAATTTCATTTATGTCCTCCTTGTTCTCACCCGCTTTATCTCAAGAGGCCCTCCAAGTAGCTGGGTTCGCTCAGGCCCCTCCGCCCCGTCCCATGTTTTTTTGTTTTGTTTTTTTTGTTTTTTTGAATCAGCACAGGATGAAACAGGTTCACCGCAAGTGATTGGTCTGAAGTCAGCTAACTAAGGGAGGTAGGTAAGCCATGCTTTGTGACTCCCAAGTTCGTTCTTCTCCCTCTTGTGTAACAAAGGTCCGTCCCGTGGTAGATGCCGTGTGTGAAACTGTGACGTGTGGACGGCAGAGAACAGACTGTAAACTCATGAATAATGGTTCTGATTCTACCCCCATTATCAAGGCCAATTGTTTCCAGAGATTTTGCCTTGACTATAGCAATAATAAATGCTTTATGTTTCCATGAGTACCTTTTTAATTTCGTATCCTCGATTTCACAACCACACTCATGGCTTGCCGCCCAGGTTCGAGCCAGAACGCGGGAAGTCAGCGACCACACAGACGTAAGGAGAGGAGTGAAGCAGCTGACCGGGTATCCGTGCAGTCAGGGTTTGCCCAAAGTGCGCCCAGTACCGGACCCTGTGCATCCTGCGGTCCCGCTCCCTTCTCCCCGCCCAGAGGACTAACAGAGTCCCGGGGAGGAGTTTACTGTCAGGGCTGGGGCGTCCTCAGTCTCCCCAGCGCGAGAAGGAAGCCTCGAGACAACTTACCCCTGGGGCCTGGACCCTTGAATCTTCAGCCAAGGAAGCTCTCAGGACCTACTCATGCCCCTTCCTGGTTCCCCCAAGCCCTTGTGAGATTACGCCTCCGGGAGAGTGTGGAGAGGGTCCTTTCCTTGCCGGAACCAGAGGGAGCCCCATCCGTAGCCATCTGCCTAGGAAAGCACCACACTCCTTCTGGAAACGGGCAGTCAGCCGCGAAAATCCCAGCTCCTGTGAGAGAGGCAGAGCCACACGGCTGATGGGTTGGTGTGATCAGGAGCCGACTGTGGTAGAGGAAGGCACGGAGGCAGAGATCCTGCTGTCCCCGCAGGGGCTGAGCAGAGCGAGAGCTCCCACGTCCGTGCCCTGCAGACGGAACTCATCCGAGGCTGACCCCCTTTCCCCAGAGGATCTCTGCTCTTAGCTCGGTGTTTGGTGTGCCCTGAAGATCTTTCTTGTTCAGGGTGTCCCTCTCAATAGCTTCCAGGGTCCCTCCCAGGAATGGGTCTGAGCCGAGGAGCCTGCAGAGGTGGCTCTGCACTGGGGCTTCCTGGAGCCCCACGCCTCCCACCCTGGCACAGAGGCTCCCCAAAGTCTGCCCTCGGGGAGGCCACCTGGCACCGTCCTGCTCTGGTACTGTCCTGCTCTTTGGGAGTTGGCGTCTGTCTCTAGGAGAGGCCAGCTTGCCCCTTGTTCGTTGGAAACGGCTCTCACCTCCCAGGGCGTGGGGGTGCCCTGGGCCTCCAGCTGCCTCGTGCACAGCTATGTGCTGTTGGGCTCATGCGTCTTTATCTGCCAGCGGGGGGGTCAAGGGCACAGAGATCAGGGAGTGACAGCGAGGATGGAACAAGTTCCTGAGCGTGAAGTTGGAGCCACCCTGGGCCTGTGCCTACCCTTGGGAACACTAGATGTTAGGGTGAGCGCTGGAGGTCCACAGCCCCTTGCCGTTTGGTTTTGGGGAGGAGTGTGTTTGCTCAGGGCAAGGCCTGGCCTTAGGGCTCACTGGAACCACATTTGCTCCGGCTGGACGACTTCTGAAAGGGTGCGGCTCCTTCCCCAGCAGACCCACCGGGCAAGCTGCGTTCACACGTCCCTTATTTACCCTTTTGGGTCAATCTGGCAAATCTGGCAATCTGTCATTTTAGGCAAATGTCTGTTTCAACCTAATATTTATTGCTTTATTCCATCCTCATACCAACCCTTACTTGCCTCATTTTTCAGATGGAAAAACAGACTTGGGGAGTAATCCAACCCCCCCTCCCAAGAGAAAGTCTCCATGGCTGGGGTAGGGGCTGGACAGCCAGGCTGGGGGCTGGGATGGGGGGGCCTGTGTGCAGAGGCCTCTCCTCCCCGTGTGATGGCCTAGTGCCCCAGACCTGCTCACCCCCATGTCCTTGTAACACCTTTCTGGTGATGTCCAGGAGGAGGGGGAAAGGCAGGCTTCTGTGCGGTTTGGAATATCTTCTGCATCGCAGGAGGCCGCAGAGTTCAAGAAGTCGGTGAGCCCGCAGCTCTGTGCCAGCCCCTCTTGGGCCTGGAGCTGGAGCACGAGAGCAGTAGGTTTCAGAAACCAGTCCTGCTAGACCCATTTTGCAGTTTCCCTGTTCACTTCCACGTGTGCCAGTGAGAATGGACAGCGGGGAGTTGGTCCCATCCCGGATGAGAGGAGCCTCGATCCCAGGCTTGCCCAGGGGACTTCCTCTCTACTCCCTTGGCCCAGGAACTGCTTAGTGTCCCCCTGCCATGGCCTCACACAGTCAATATGGCCCTGTCCAGTGTGCGGTTCACACCTTGCCAGCCCCTCGGGGCACCAGGAGGAGCGCAGGGAGGATAAGGCGGGGGAAAGGCTAATGGGAAATAAGAACATTCCCTTTGCGCCCACCACACCCCCTCCCCTGTGACCTGTCAGGAGCCTGCCGGGGAGCAGCGGAATAAATGAGCCCCAGGCATGGGGGGGCCACAGATGTTCTGAGTCACCCAGCTCTGAAGAGGGAAGTGGATCCAAGAGCCCTTGGTGTCCTCTCCCCTGGACACTAGTTTCTCTGCCTCCTTCCCTTGGGTCCAGGGCCGCAGTGGGATTAGAACTCCCGGCTACACCTTCCCCCTGGACCACCAAGGTCGGCCCCGAAGCCATTTCTCTTTCTTCCCCCGTCAGCCCTGTGCTGTGCTCTCTTCGACACGTCTGTGTTTCGGCGACACGAGCCCTGCCCTCCACCGAGAATGAACGACACGCCAACATTAACCCGCAAACAAGCCAGCGGGGGACAGGAGCAAGTCAGCTCAGAATACAAAAACCAGCGTGTATCTGGGAAACGGGACGCTTAGGACACAAGCAGCATGTTGGAGAGACCAAGGTTTCCTCTCGCAGGGTCCGAAAAACATCTAGATCTGGGCTGGGGTGGTCCAAGATACTAGGCATTCACGAACCTTCTGGATAGGACAAGACAGTAAGGATTTCAGGCTTTGAGGACAATGGGGTCTCCCCTGCAGCTCTCCAACCCTACCTCCCCCAGTAGCAGACACAGACCATACACACACGGACACGGCTTTGTTCTGATAGAACTTTCTATACAGACGTTGAAATTTTAATCTTGTGGAATTTTCATGGGTTACATAATTTTTTTTTTTTACATTTTCCATCCATTTAAAAATGTAAAAAAACCAAAAAACTCTTAAC